TTTGTGGGCTGCTTTTTCATAAGATGTTTGTTAATCTCCAAATACAGATCTGTCTCATTGAGAACTGTAATTATATAATCCTCCCTTTAGTTATAATTCCTCTTTTATTTGTTATTATAGGCTAAGTACAATATGTATTTCTCCATTCTGTTTTTTTTTACATGCCATGTGAAGTAACATTTCCAGTAGAAAGAGCTTCTGAAAGCTGAATGAAAAAATTACATGTAATGTTTGACCCAAAGGTTTTGGAACATTATCTGACACTGTTTAGTACTTCACTACTGCTTCATTGAAAGCAGTTTTGAGAGTTTTTATGACGGTGGAAGGTACAGGCAACATTGTGGTTATACACCGTTGCAGTTTAATTCGATAATATTAACACATTTTAAAGGCTCCTAAATTATTGGCATTTGTGCAATTTTTTTAGTGTAGTTTGCTAATGAATTATTTACTGCAAATAGTTTACCAATTTATTATTTTTATTCATGTATACTGCATTTTTTTAGATAAATGTATGCAACTACCAAACATGATAGTTGAGATGATGATTGCTTAATTATTTCTTCCTTATATACCTTATATACCCAGCTTCACAAGTATAACTTAACAGAACCCCAGGATTCCTCACAGCTTTCTGTTAATACTGATAAAGTAACCACCATTTCCTCACTTGGCTTGTTTTCCTGTCTTCATTACCTGCTTGAACGTATGGTGCATTTTAAACAGTATCTTCAGGCTATGTAGAAGCTGCTCTTTAATAAAACCACAGAAAAAAAAGTTAATTTTCATTGTATTTGATCAACAGAAATATGATAGAAGTATTTTAGCTTTTAAATACCTAAAGTTAGTTTCATTTTGATCAGCCTGGTCTTGCTGTTTTAAATGATGGGATCTTTGTGCCATAAGAATTCAGTCATATGACCTAATGGCTTTTCTCTTTGGCACTTGGCAGAACATCCTAATGAAGAAAATCTTGATAAAAGTGCTACAGATTTTAAACTGTGCTACTTTTGTGCTTTTGCTGAGGGAAAACAGGCCCCTCTTCATGCCCAGTGATCATATTAAACTGAAAATATCAGTCAGTGGAATGTCTGAACCCCAGCAGCCTCAGGACACAAGGGCTGGACTTGGCACTGGACCATCTCCATTGCATTCTGATGCTGAAGGATTTAAAAATGATCTCAGATTGTCAGAGATGCTAATCTTTTCAATCCTTAAAAATATAAAATAGACACTGTGTTAAAAATAATTTTGGTTATTTCCATTAAGCATGCGGAATCTCAATTTGGTATTTCATCTTCAAAAAACCTGTAAATGGCAATTTAGGCATTCCTTATTTAGGATTCAGTTGATGTTTTAAAAATATCAATTAATTCAATTATTATTTAACAAAATAATATCATGAAATTTCGTGAGATTTAAACTGAAGAGGGGCACACCTCTGTTACTCCTGAAACAGGAAATTGTCCAAAGTTCTAAGATTTGTGTTTGAATTTGAGTAACATATTTTGGGGGGAATTTTCCGAAAAGCTGGATCTTATGGGCACATATTTTTATTCCCCTTTAGTTTGGCTAATTCAGGCAAGCCTGACCACACATTTCTATGGCATCAAAAAACAGTTGGTGTTTTTTAATAATTTCTGCTAATAGTAAACAAAACTATGCATAAAATAAAATTGTCATTAGCTACTCACATGGGTTCTCTTTGTATTTTAATACTGATTGGTTTATCTGAGGTGAAACGTTACTTAACGTATGTTTTTAGTTGCATCATTTGTAGATTACTTCTGGCCTCATTACCACCCCTTTTTGGTTTAAGGTCACAACCACAGTTTAAGGTTCAATGTGCATTTAAATGCACCTGTAAATACATGTGCATGTTCTCAGCTAAATCTAAAAACAGATGCAATTGCAGGTGATACTTAAAATTCCAATCAATCCAAGTATTCCCAATCCTCAAAGGCATTGATAGACCCAGTGGATATATTCAGTATCAATAGTGAAACACAAACTAGAAATTACAAATGGAAACTACATGGAAGTGCATTTAAATGTGTGAATGGGAGGCAATTTCTACTTAGAAAGCATTGTGTGATAAAAAAACAGTGCATAACTATGCATTGTGGGATTGTATTGACTAGGCTACCTAGCCTTTTTGCTGAAGCTGAAACCCAGGCATCTTTAAAGAATCTTTAAAGTTCTGAAAGAGACATCTGGATCAGATACTAGCAACCAAATGGGCTAGATGGGCCCAATGGCCACGGTTCATTGTAAACTTTGTTTCAAAGTTCATTTAATAATTAAAATAAAGATTTTAGTTAGAGACAGTAATTTCTCCCCTTCTCCACCTTGTCTGACGTGGGCTGATGGTAACATTTTCCGCTGTGCATCACCCGGTAGGGTGTTGCACTTCTGTTGCGGATGAAGTGGTTTTTCTTTGGCTTTATATATCATGTGTCCATTGTATATTATATGCACAAAAATATAACACAGTAAATAGCTTTAATGTGCTGTTTGCATTTTAATAAACATTTTAATATTTATTAAAATACAAAACAATGATCAATAGTACACTCTTAACACTGCTCTTACCTAAACAACATATTTCTGTTTGATGCACTATTCATTTCACTTGAAGGTGGTTAAATAGTACTCCTTATGTTACTTTAGTTGCTCAAAGACGTCTGCGTGTGAAAGAAATGTCACACATACATTGCAAACTGATTGATATACAGTATTATCTGATCGCATTTATTTGCACATTTAAGGGCATGTGAACTTCACTTTCAAATTTCCATTACCTGGAGTACTACTACTTTACATCTGAAGAGCATATTGCTACCATTTTGTCTGAACAGGTGCAGTTGAACATGCAGATTTTTTGTAAAGTTGCTGATTTTGTCTTTTACCTAGGCAAGGAGCCTGAAAAGGCACGGGAGCGCTATGATAAAGTGACCATGAAACTGCATAACCTCCACAATCAGTATGTCCTGGCAGTGAGGGGAGCACAGCTGCACCAAGAGCACTACCATGACACCACTCTTCCTCTGCTGCTGGACTCCTTACAGAAGATGCAGGAGGAAATGATTAAAGCCCTGTGAGTCTTTATGTTCCTCCAGTTCACACACACACATTGGAATACACTCTTAAAAAACAAAATACATTGTGTTATGCTATGCATGGAGGAGTAATGGAAGCAGTCAGTGTCCTTTCCAGTGGTTTCAGGTTTAATTTGTCCACCTTTTCAACTAGAAGACTCGGTGTCTTCAGGGCCAGATCCCACGTACTGTTTTTTGAGACCTGGAGCCTTATGCTGAGAAATACTAGTGAGCTTTTAAAAAAAAAATTCCTGTGGGTGGAGTTGTGAATGAACTGTGAATTTTTTTGTTTAGTTTTTGTGAAACATGCGCCTTAATTGCTCGGATGAGTCTTTGGGGTTTTTCAACCACCCAAAAACAGCAGTGGTATGTGTGATTCTGTTGTGGTGGGACATTTAAAAAAAAAAAACATTGATCAAATACGTGTTTACATAAATATTTAGGTAATGTGCCATTGATTGGCCCATCTAAATAAATATATAAGTATAAATATATAAATAAATAAGTTGGAAATGCAACTTTTTGCAAAAGTTAATGGCTGTTTTAAGCTATGTGATGTGTGGTAAATGAAGGCCACTGGTTCTGCCAGTGGCTCCTGGCATGTTGAAAAAAAATATTGTGGAATGCATACTTTTTATTTTGATGAAATCAAGTACAGACACGATTTATACTGTGCAAAATGGTCTATTGCAAGTACATTTGCAGAGATGGTGTTGCTAAACTATTTAATCTTAACTCAGAGATATGTTTGTTACTTTGTGCACTAAATATCTAATATCTAAAATTAAATGTTATCCATAAATGATCATTTAAAAACAGGTGATTATTCACAAATCATAAGAAACGTAAGTGCAAATCACCATTCTGTACAACTGTTGCCATACTGAAGAAGATGCATTTGTGTTAGTGTCATCTAAAAAAACATATTTATTCTTGGCATATGGCAGTATTGTGTTGCTTATTTGAAGATGGTTGATAAATGAAACACTTCTTATGAAAATATTCAGAATATGATGAAATATTAAGTCCAAAAACACTTTTCACTCTAAAGGTCTTTTTAATATTATGAATGAGGATTATTTAAGTCTTGTCTGTTTTGATTTAAGCCTTTTGTTAAATTTGCTTCTGTTCATTTTGAATGAATATAGCCAGATCAAATACTGAGTAATAACATGAAGTCCACAATTAAAAAAAAATCCTCTTTGAAGATGAAAATTGACCTTGAACTTAATTTTGCCAACAGAAAGCAACATCCTACCAGCTGGTAAGAGATGCATGCCTCTTCACCGCTTAAAGGTTCAGGCAAAATGATGCTGTGCTGTATTACACAATATTTACGCTGCATGGCAATTCACACAATACACTACTGTGAAAGCACTGAGGCAGAATGTGTCATGTGATATCACAAGACTGGTGAGCACACATTTATATGGGGATAACTAATAAAACCTACCACCTGTTTTGCCATGGTGGTTAAGGCAGGTGCTGTTACATTGTAATTTTTGTAATTTTTTCGTGATTCATTTATAGGTTTTATTGGCCTAGTGGTTGCATTACTGTGGCAGCGGACAGTACTGTCAATACGCCCTTTGTCCTATATTAGCATACCCTGAAAGGGATTTCTAAAAAAAAATTATCATGGTAAATAGCTTTGACTGACAGAAAAAAATACCTAATTTGACCTGCTGAATGTCAATCCTTGTGAACACTAAGAACCACATAGAAAATTACCAACTCTCTTATGAAGAGAATAACAGCTTCATGACATAGGTATGTGGGTGGCTGTATCAAGAGCACACACGCTTGATCTCTGTCTGGAGTATTAATAGCCAGTAATTTCTAACATGGCAAGATATTACCAGCCTAACACAAACTGTCAATGATAGGCTGATCTGGGAGATTATATGTCATGACCTGTCACCAAGAGCGAAAGGAAGGTCCAAGTGTAATTATCCGGAGAGACCTGTCTAGGAGAGTGTAATATATTGCAATTATAAATAACATGTTTCTTTTGATGCTCAGTGGGTCCATTGTTATGTCAATGAGGTATTGTACAATTTAGGTTTAGTTTTAATTTCCAGTGGTAATTAAATAAAACGTGACTGACAAAATTAGGTTGTTGTCAGAAAAGGATTTTTTCAGTTTGATTTTGTTAGCCCATAGTATTAAATGCTAATTTTGGCAATCATGATACAAAACGGAGGTTTCAGGCTTCAGAGACAAAACACTTTTTACTGTTGAGATGAACAAGGAAGCAAAGAAAAAAAAGCTCAGTTACCATGCATACCATGCAGAACTGTACAGTGTTGCTTGTGAAATTAGTGTTGGTTTCCGTGTTACTGGTTCATTTTAGAAGCCAGTTTATTTTCTAGGACAGAACAATTGTGTATGTTTCAGAAAGAACAGAACAAAATTCTAAGATACCCTTGGTTTAAGGGATAGTGTTTGCCACTGTAGTCTATCCATCTGTTATTAATTTTGCTGTTGCATTTGTCTCTTTTCTTTCTGTATGTTTTGAAATACTGCATATAACAGGATATCTTTGCTTATCTTTCATAGCAAATCTCCAGTGTTACCATTTTTTAAAAAGCACTGAGGTATTTGGGTGAACTGTACCTAGTCCCCTTTATTCACCTCCAGATTTCTGTTTGGTGTTGAAAGGCTTCCTGATATAGAAGAGTTACTGTGTAACTTCTGTCAGTTAATTTTTTCAAAGTTTTCGAAAATGAAAGAAATTCTGATTTTGTGGTAAGGTAAAGTAACACTTTTTAGGCATTGTTTGGGAATGTGTTTACACAAATGAAATGAAAATGCAGGGGTGTGGGGAATTGATGTTAATCTGTTAAAATATGCATGTGATTTGGCCCTAGTAGGATTGTTTACTGCTGATGATAGAGAAGGGAAGGAACATTACCTTGAACAGATAAGTAAGCAGGAAAGGTGGCATCAGTCAAGCATGCTTGATATTAATGTTGATAACACCAAAGAACTGGCTAATTGTGATAGTAATAAATTATATGTTCATCCTCTCTCCCTTATTAATCAGCCTGGAGGTTGTTCAGTGTTCTCAAAATACCTGAGAACAGTAATAGATGAATAACTGAAGAATATAACTATTGCATTAAAGAACACCAGTCTGCGCATATATTTGATTAGGAAGTTGAAAGGGTTTGGAGTGAGGCAAGACATTTTAGAGAGGTTTATACAATGTTAATAGAAAGTGTCCTTACTTTTGGTATTATGGTATGGTGTGGAATAAGAGTAAAGGGCCAGAATTGTTAATATTGCTAGTAATGGGTTCACCACAGAAACAGTTAAAAGAGCTACATTATATTACAGTTAAAAGGAAAGCCTAGCATATCATTGATGACCCCTCATACCCTCTTTGTTGTGATTTTCAGCTGCTACTTTCAGGCAGGAGTTTTAGAATGCAAATGGGCAAGAAAATTGTGTACAAGATATCCTTTATTCCCCATGCAATCGGTATATCAAATGCAGCTAAGTGACTGTTTCCTGTATGGAGCTATCAGATTATGTGTAACAGTAATGTGTTATGGGTATAGTGAGATTCATGTGTATACTGTATTATAATAATTCTTTATATATACACCTTATATATATAAACGTATATAGCACTTTTCTGGACACTCCACTCAAAGTGCTCAAAGGTAATGGGGACTCCCCTCCACCACCACCAGTGTGCAGCCCCACCTGGATGATGCCAGAAGACAGGACCTTAGTTTTACACCTCATTCAAAGGACAGCACCTTTTTACAGTATAGTGTCCCTGTCACTATGCTGGGGCTTTTGGACCCACCTAGACTGCAGGATGAGAGCCCCCTACTGGCCCCATTAACACCTCTTCCAGCAGCAAGTTAAGTTGTGAGATGTAGGGTGATATGTATTGTTACAGGCCTAAGACTATTGATTGTTTTTAATGTGTATTTCATTTATGTTGAGTGTTATTTGATTTTTATGGTGATACCAAAGACAAATTTCCACCCCTTTGGATGGAAATGCCTTATATTGAGCATCTTATTAAAAAAAACTCTAGTTTTCTAGATCACACTATACCATAACATGGGGTTGAAGTTGATACATTAGATTCTTTCAAAAAAGAGCTTGAGATTCTCAGATCAATTGGCCACAAGAAACTAAATGAGTTAGTTGAAATAATGTCCTCCTCCTGTATATGATCTTTATGTTCTTAAATTCTAATTGATTTGATTGGAGAAAATTCCCAATGGCTTTGGTTAAAAAAAACTGAAATTTAATTTAATGTTCAAAAGTACATAAGTTCCATTTATTGGGAAAGTGAATAACTGAAAACCCCCTCTGCTTCTGTGTTATAAAATGGTCATGATCAGGTGTACTATTGTATTACAATAATTTGCTGATCATTTTAGTTTTGCCCACATTTTATAATTTGTTGATGGCATACACAGGTAAAATAAGTCCTGTACCTCCCCACAATGAACAAGAATAATTAAGGCACCATCATTTTATCCATTTCACTCACATTTTTCACGCGTAAATGACCATCTCAGCATTTATTGTGCTAAATATATGTACTCCGTTTTGCAGATTTTTTTCCACAAATTCCTCTGTATGCTTAGCTAATGTATAGACAATTTTGTCTTTCCTTTCTGTCATATTCATTTGAATTCTACAATCTGGTGGCACAGTGAACTTTATAGTCAGCTCCATTGTCGGACTTGTAACACTGTTGATCTCCCAGTACTGCATGACCACCACATTATTTATCCATCCTGATGGGGGCTTATGAATAGAAGTTTTATGCATGAGGTTAAAAAGCAGTATATGGGTGGGTCAATAAGCATATTCAATTTCTGTGGGGATTTGTTGAATCCCCTAAGTTTCAAATATGATTTCTTAAAATATGATTTTTAGTAGTATATCTGTTCTGAGTGACACTAGTATGTTCTATTAATTTTAAGACAATCAAACATCAAAATTGATCCATGTGGGATCCTGATAA